TATAATTTGGTTTAAATCTATGCTCTATCTTTCTTCTATTTGTCTTTTGTCCCCTCTTCCTTGTTCTGTCTTCTAAAGTTGTTAACATTTTTCATAACTTCATTTTAGCTCCACTATTGGATTATTTTGTTCATTTACTTATGTTTAGTAGCTGCTGTAGAGATTATATGATGCATCTTAACCCTGTTACAGTTTGTCTTCATATATTTGTTTCCCCTTTTTATCATTTGCACTGTCATGATGTTTTTCTTCTACATATGCTACAAACATCACAATATGTTTCTATGATTTTTTTTCATACATTCAATTCTCTTACATCATTTTTGATGCTCTTTAGACTCAGGTGTTGATCTAAAGTTCTATCTAGTATCATTTCCTCATCCCAAAATACTTATTTTCATATTTATTCAAGTAGAAGTGTGCTGAAAACAAATTCTGTTATTGTTTTTCCCCCAAAATGTCTTCATTTTTAAAGAAAAATTTGCTAAGTTAAGAAACTTAGAAAACAGATTTGGATTTGTTTTGTTTTGTTTTCAATATATCAAAGACATCTCTCCATTGTTTTTCTGGCTTGCAGAGTTTCTGATGAGTAGTCTACTGTCATGTTGTAGCTCTGTGCATAATGTATCTTTTCTCTGTCTATTGTAAGATTTTTTCCATTATCACTGGTTTTCACACAAAATAAATTTTATGGTCTTGATGTTTTTGCTTTTTAATATTTATTTTCTTTAGAATGATTTGAGCTTCCTGGATTGGTACAACCACTATAGAAAACAGTGTTGAGTTCCCTCAAAAAATTAAATATGGAATTGCCATTTGACCCAGTGATCCTACTTCTAGGAATATATCCTAAGAAGCCAGAAACACCTTTCAAAAGAATATATGCCCCCATGCCCCAGTTCATAGCAACATTATTTACAACTAGGGGCCCAGTGCATGAATTCGTGCACCATGAAAGGAACTGTGGGCTGCTAGGCTGTGGTGGGTACACAGGCGGGTCTCAGTGCATCCTCTGCGCCCCCACCTGGCCCCTCCCGCCACGGCCCCAGGTCTCCTGTCTGCCTGCAGCCCCACTCCTGCCGCTACTGCTCCCACACACTGACAGCACTGGCCCCACTCGCACTTGCTGATGGCATGGAGCAATTGGGGCCGGTGCCAGTAGGGGGTGCAAGTGGGACTAGTACCCTCAGGGGCGATCAGGACCTGCAGCAGTTACTCGTACCTGCTGATGGTGCCAAGCAATCAGGACAGGCTCCAGGCACTGGCAGTGGGTGCGAGCAACGGCTCTAGCACCTGCTGCCGGTGTGAGTGGGGCTGGTGCCAGCAGCAGGTGCAAGTACCAGGTGGGACCGTGGTGCATGGGAACAAAGAATTTTCAGTAACCACTAGAGGCTTGCCCCAATGACAGAGACCAGCACCCCTCCTTGGTCTGGTGCTCCCACTCACCTGCTCCACAGTCCTACCATGGCCGATGCCTGCCATGTTCTGTCGACACCCTCTGGTGGTCAGATCACATCATAGCGACCAGTTGTTCAGTTGTTCCACAGTTCAGTCTATTTGCTTATTAGCCTTTTATTATATAGGCTAGCTACAATTTGGAAATAGCCTAGGTGCCCATCAACAAATGGGTGGATTAAAAAACTGTGGTACATCTACACAATGGAATACTATGCAGCTGTAAAAAAGAAGGAACTCTTACCCTTTGAGACAGCATGGAGGGACCTGGAGAGTATTATGCTAAGTAAAATAAGCCAGTCAGAGAAAGACAAGTATCACATGATCTCAATTATATGTGAAATCTAATAAACAAAATGAACAATATTTATGTACAATATCATGTCATCTGTGAATAATGATGGTTTTACTTCTTTTCTAATTTGGATTCCTTTTATTTCTTCTTCTTATCTATGGCTAGCACTTCCAGTACTGTGTTGAACAGGAGTGGTGAAAGTGTACATACCTGTCTTGTTCCTGTTCTTAGAGAAATAGGTTTAATTTTTGCCCATCGAGTATGATGTTGGCTGAGTTTTGTCATATAAGACTTTTATTATGTTGAGATATTATCACTCTATTCCAACTTTGCTGAGAGTTTTTATCCATAAAAGGTGTTGGATTTTGTTAAATGCCTTTTCTGCATCAATTGATATGATTATGTGATTATTGTCTCTCAATTTGTTTGTGTGATGTATAACGTTTATTGATTTGCGAATATTGTACCAGCCTCGCATCCTTTGGATAAATCCCACTTGGTCAATATGTATGATCTTTCTAATGTAGTGCTGGATCAAATTGTTGAGGATTTTAGTATCTATGTTCATCAGGGATAATAGCTTTTAATTCTCTTTCTTTGTATTACCTTTAACTAGTTTTGTGGTTAGGGTAATTCAGTTTCATAGAAAGAGCTTGGAAGTGTGCCTTGCTCTAGAATTTTTGGAATAGTCTGATAATGATAGATTTTATTTCTTCTTTGAATGTTTGGTAAAACTCCCCTGTGAAGCTGTCTGGACCAGGGCTTTTGTTTGCTGGAAGTTTTTTGATTACTTCTTCAATTTCATCAGTAGTTATTGGCCTATTCAGGTTTTTTTATTCTTCCTGGTTAAGTTTGAAAGATCGTATTTTTCTAGGAATATGTCCATTTCATCTAGATTGTTCAGTTTGTTGGAGTAGAGTTGTTCATAGTATTTTTTTTGTAATCCTTTGTATGTCTGTGGAGTCAGTTGTTACTTCACCTTTCATTTCTGATTTTGTTTATTTGGGTCCTCTCTTTTTGTTTCATGGTGAGCCTGACTAGAGGGTCACCAGTATTATTTATCCTTTCAAAGAACCAGCTCTTGGTTTTATTGATATTTCATATTATTTTTTGTTTGTTTGTTTGTTTTTTGTTTTGGTCTCTATGTCATTTATTTCCACTCTGATCTTTATCATTTCCTTCCTCCTGCTTCCTCTGGGATTTTCTTGTAGCTCTCTTTGTAATTCTTTTAGTTGTAGAGTTAGATAAAATATTTCCCCTTTTTCTTTCTTTTTTTTTTTTGAGGTAGGCCTGTAGAGCTATGATCTTCCCTCTCAGGGCTGCTTTCATTGTGTCCCATAGATTTTGGAATGTTGTGTTTTCACTGTCATTTATTTCCAGGATGCTTTTTATTTCTTCTTTGATCTCTTTGGTAACCCAATCATTGTTTAATAGCATGCTATTTAGTCTCCAAATGTTTGATTTTTTTTCATTGTTTTTATTGTAGTTGATTTCTAATTTAATGCCATTGTGATCTGAGCAGATGCTTGATATGATTTCTATCTTCTGGAATTTGAAGAGAATTTGCCTGTGACCCAATATATGGTCTATCTTTGAAAATGATCCATGTGCATTTGAGAAGAATGTGTATTCTATGGCTTTGGAGTGAAATGTTCTGAAGATGTCAATTCCATCTGATCTAGTGCATCATTTAGGATTGATGTTTCTTTGCTGATTTTTCGTTTAGAGGATTTGTCCAATGGTGATAGTGGGGTATTAAAGTCCCCTATTATGATTGTATTGCTATCAATCTCTCCCTTGATATCCTCCAAAAGTTTTTTTTATGTATTATGTTGCTCCTGTATTAGGTGCGTATATGTTTACCAGAGTTATATTTTCTTGTTGGATTGCTCCCTTTAATATTATAAAGTGGCCTTCCTTATCTCTTGTTATGTCCTTCACTTTGAGATCTAATTTGTCTGATGTAAGTATTGCTACCCCAGCTTTTTTTCATTTCCATTCGCCTGAAAAATCTTTTTCCATCCCTTCACCATCAGTCTGTGT